AGCGCGGAGCCGGGGTGGGAGGAAGGAGGGGGCAGGATTGGGGCCGGGGAACCATCAGCTGTCCGAAAGAGCATCCCCACCCCCCGGCGAGGGAAGACGGGAGAGCAGGGGGCAGGCTCCTCATTCCAGCAAGGAGGGCACAAGCCTTAGATGACTTGCAGGGATGAACAGGCCAGTCTTTCCAGAGCTAGGAAGCCAAGGACGCTCCGGTTGGGGAGAGGACAGAAAAATCAATAAAGAGGCACCTAATTGTGCTCCAGCTGAAGTCACTGGCAAAAGGAGTGCAGAGGCACATCAAATCTGAGCCCAGTTCTGCAATCTGCCCATGTCACTAGAACTTTAAACTTCAATCGGGGTCAAGATTGCAGGATCAAGCATACATATTACTGGATTTTTAAAAATGTGTAAGACAGCTATGGGGAACCTAAGGCATGGGGTCTGGATGTGGCCCCTGGGTTGCCTGGATTTGGCCTCCAAGGCTTAGGGCCTCCCCCAGCATTGGGAAGCCCACGCTGGCACTCTCCCCCCCTCCCCCGTCCATGGGGCTTCTCCCCCATCGGCACAGACACTGGCATTCCAGGGGGAAAGCCGAGATCAGACTTTCTCCCTCAGATGGAAGCCCGGGGCTGTCTCCTCCCGCACAGCCGCTTCCGGTCACCGCACACAGAGGACACCCGGGGTCATTCTCGTTGGGCGCACAACGGCGATGGGGAGCAGAGCACCCAGGCTGCAGCGCTGTGTGATCTGATTACAGGCGGACTCCCTCCATGTCTGTGTTAGAGGCCTTGGGAGGAGAGTCAGGGGGGCTGGATTCTGCTCCTGGCTTTGCCGGGGACGCACTCTGTGACCTTGGACAAGCCCCTGAGCAGCTTGTGAAACGCTCCCACCCTTGCTGCACAGGCAATGCCCCTGCTGCCAGCGGCAGTGTAGCCCAGTGGCTAGTGTCTCTTGCTGCCTCTGGAGCCAGGGATTGATGGCGCAAGCCCCACCTCCCCGGGGACAGCCAACCCATACTCCCAAGGGACAGCACTGACCCTGTTGGGACATAGGAAGCATTAGGAGGGGCCCCGAAGGTTTAGAAGGTGCGGGGGTCCTCAAGGTACCTACCTCCAGAGTCAAAGGTGAAGGGCTTGAGCCCTACCTGAGCAGGGTTAGGCAGAATCGTTGGTACAACCCTCCCTGTCCTGGTTTCAAATAATTGTCATCTGCACAACCCTTGCCGCGAGCTTGACAGCACCCAGCTCCCCTGCAGACCGTGTGCTTTGGTGCATGGACTGTGATGCTGGCCCTTTGGAGAGCAATTGTCTGCCATGCCCTGCCACTGACGTGCTGTGTGACCCTGGGCAAGTCCCCTCGCTGTGCTGAGAGTCAGTTTCCCAACCTGTAAAATGGGAATAACGCTTGGGCAAGTCCCCTCGATGTGCTGAGAGTCAGTTTCCCAACCTGTAAAATGGGAATAACGCTAAGGCGCTTGTTCACAAACTGTGACAGGCAGGGAGGCGAAGCCCTCATGGGAAAAGCGGGGTGTTTATTGGAGTTAGGGGTGGCAGAGCGGGGCCCCACCCAGACAGTTAAAGGCTCACGGGCCAGGTGAACTCACCGCAGGGGAGCAGGCGACTGGCAGTTTCCGAGCACTGTGCAAAGGGGACTGGTTCCTGGCCCTTGGCCGTAAGCCGGCCTGAGTTAGGGTGAAGTAGTTCCAATGGTCTGGGGCAGAGGGAAAGGGTTCCAGGTGGTGGGAGCTGCTCTGGAGTGGGCTGATCTGGGTTAGTCTGTCTGTGTGAGCACAAATGCTCTGTGATTGTGGTGCATGCCACACGCTGCACCCATCCCCCCCTCGGGGCAGATCCTCCCTTTTGCTGGTGCCTCCCCCCACACCCCTGAAAATACCCCATCCTCGCCCCCTAATTCCAGCTCTTCTGGGTGATGGGCCCCCCGTTACGGAAAGGATGGGGCCGCATTGGAGACAGTCCAGTGGAGGGCAGCCAAATGATTCCGGGGCTGGAGCACATGCTCTATGTGGCTGAGGGATTTGGGCTTGTCTAGTCTGCAGAAGCGAAGAGCGAGGGGGGATTTGAGAGCAGCCTTCAGCTACCTGCAGGGGGGTTCCAGAGAGGATGGAGAGAGGCTGTTCTCAGTGGGGGCAGGTGGCAGAACAAGGAGCAATGGGCTCGAGTTGCAGTGGGGGAGGTCTAGGTTGGAGATTAGGAAAATCAATTTCCCTAGGCGGGTGGGAAGCGCTGGGCTGGGTCCCTAGGGAGGGGGTGGAATCTCCAGCCCTTTAGTCCTGGCTTGACCAAGCCCTGGCCGGGCCGATTTTGTTGGGCTTGGTCCTGCTTTGGGCCGGGGGCCAGACTCGATGCCTCCAGAGGGCTCTGCCGGCCCCAGAGTTCTAGGGTTCCCCCGCTTGCAGCTGGCTTTTCTCACGGCGGGTGAGGAGCCCGAATCCAGGTTCCCTCCCATTGATTGTTGTGGCGACTGGAGACTGGAGGGTTTTCTATAGCGAGCAGGTGGGGAGTCAACTGCCCCCTGCCAGCCTGGGTCGCAGGGCACAGGCAGCTGCTAGGACTGTGCTCCGGGGAATTCCTTTGCCCCGGAGCGCCACCTCCTGGTGGGTTTACACAGGCGTGTGGGGAATAGCTGCTGGAACAAGCCCTTCCCCAGTGGGGAAGATTGACAGACGGACACACATCCGGCTGCTGCCAATCTCTGCAAATTGATAGGGGGACTAGGAACACGCCCACAAATCCACGGCTCGTGGGAACCCAAGGCCGGGATGTCCAGTGAGAGGCTGGTGCCAGTGGAATAACTTTCCTATCATAAGAATGTAAGAACGGCCAGGGTGGGGCAGAGCAAAGGTCCATCTAGCCCAGTGTCCTGTCTGCCCACAGTGGCCAAGCCAGGGCCCCAGAGGGGACAGAACAGGGAATTATCACATGACCCATCCCCAATGCACATTCCCAGCCTCTGACAAACAGAGACTAGGGACCCCATTCCCACCCATCCTGGCTAATAAGCATCAATGGACCTAACCTCCATGAATGTATCTAATTTTTTTATGAGCACTGTTAAATCCCAGGTCTTCACAACATCCTTTGGCGAGGAGTTCCACAAGTTGACTGTGCGCTGCATGAAAACTTCCTTTTGTTTGCGTTAAACCTGCTGCCCATTCGTTTCATTTGGTCACCCCTAGTTCTTGTGTTATGGGCACAGGAAAATAACTTTTCCTTATTCACTTTCTCCCCACCAGTCATGATTTTATAGACCTCTCTCCTATCCCCCTTAGTCTCCTCTTTTTTAAGCTGAACAGTCCCAGTCTTTTAATCTCTCTTCACACGGGACCCGTTCCAAACCCCTCGTCATTTTTGTTGCCTTTTCTGAACCTTTTCCAATGCTAAGAGATCTTTTTTGAGATGAGGCGGCCACATCTGGACGCAGGCTTCCGGATGGGGGCGACCCCTGGATTTATACAGAGGCAGGAAGATAGTCTCTGTCCTATTCTCTCTCCCTTTGAATGGTTCCCATCTCCCCTCACCGTAGGAGTGAGTGGGGCAGGGCCGTTCCTGCCAGCTGAGCATCGGGCCCATTCGGCTCTATTTTACCGTGTCATGGGCCAGAGCTGCCTCCATATTTCTCATGAATGTGAACGCGATCCCGGCTCATAGCCTGAACATCGGGGTCTCTTCATGGGTCCAGTGCACAGCACCGACCGGGCGACGATGCCTGTGCTCCCTCGTCGGCCCTCACCTGTGTTTCCGAGAGGGGCCGGCCCCTCGCGTGCCGTGTCGCAGGAGATGGGATACAGAAATCCCCCTTCTAGAAGCCACTTCCCCGGGTCCACTTGTGCGCGCCACATGGGAGCCCGATCACGGTGTGTCCAGAGGGGCACGCGTGGGCCTAGCCACCTAGCTGGCATGCACAAGGAGGGGGCTCGGTGAGGCACAGCCCCCTTGGATGGAGTCAGGCTGCTACGGAGAGGGGTCAGTTATTAGACGAGAGCTAAACATCGTCCCAAGCCCCCGAAAGATCAGCGCCGAGGGGAAAGCTCCTCAACCCAGCAACAGGCACTAAGTCATCAGGTGCCATCTGCCACACGGCCTGTTACAGCCTCCCGGCAGGGGTCCTGGGGCCGCTTTGAGAGGTGCCCAGCTAGTGTGGCCTGGAAGTGCTGGTGGGGGGCCGAGAGATGTCTACATCCTACAGGTGGGTGGGGTCTGGAGTCAGTGGCTGGGCTCTCAACCTGAGGGCCAGCAACCCCCCCACTTCTCAATAGGGGGTCCCCACACTTGTTCTGGTGTCAACATGGGGGAGTGGCCTGGAAGACACGGAGACCCCTTTAGTTGGGGTTGGTCCTGCCTAGAGCAGGGGGCTGGACCTGATGGCCCTTTGGGGTCTCTTCCAGCTCTATGGTTCTATGATTCTAAGACAGATGCACCATGAAATACCCACGGCCACAGGCTGCTAAGTGCATCACACGTGTCCCTCGCACGAGTCACCGTATGCGAGTGTTTTGCCTTTCCGGGCAATGCATGGTCCAGCCTCAGTGGGTGGGCGCCCCCGGAGCCCAGCTGATGGGGCAGAGCCTGGCGCTGTTTCTCCATGAACGTGCCCCCCGGATCCTCCCTGCTGAGCTCAGCCCATGAGGGGGGAGGGGCTGGCTAAACGCTGACCCTGAGTCGGGGCAGTGTGTGTGCGCCTTGCCTGCAGCAGAGCCCCAGCAGAGAGCAGGCACAGCTCTGGAGCTGGAGACCCTCCACGTGGGTGGCTTTGGCTTCCAGCAGCTCCCCTAAACACCCGCTGTCTCTCCAGGCCTCCTGGAGTTTCCAGATCCCGGCCCAGTTTCCCCTCCGCGGTGGCTGAGCCGAGGCCCGGCTCTCTCCCGGCTATTGCCGCCTTAGAAGGAGGTTTGTGTGGGTAGCTTGTTGTGCGAAGCATCGGTGATCACTGCCCGCTGCTTCCTTCCAGCCGCCAGCCAAGGAACCTTCCAGGAACCTGTGCCCCTGCCTGCAGAAGTTGCTGGCTCACAGGTATCCCTGAGAGCAGGCGGGGCAGAGTTCCCAGGGGAAATGGCTGGGAAAGGGGAGGGCAAGGCAGGTGACCTCTGACCCCTGCCAGCCTGGTTGGGTTTTGGTTGGGTTTTCGGAGGGGGGAGCGCTGCTTGTTGGGAGCGCCTGCCCAGGTGGAATTAAGCCTTGACAGTGTCTATTGGCCGGGAAGAGAGGGGGACCGAAAAGGGGCTGGTTGTGGGGCAGGCGGAGTGAATGGGCCAGGAGTCTCGGTCCGTGCCTTACCCAAGACGGCTCCGCAGCAGCTGCTTGGCTGGCGTGTGGCCAGAGGGGAGAGCTGGCGGAGACGGGCTCCGGGCAGTGGAACGGTGCCTGGCCTGAGGTCTCCGGGAACGGGCGGCTGCGGGTGGAGGCAGACTGGCTCAGACCCCGGGATCCTGACCCCGGGCTGTCTAAGGACAGCGCTCTGCCTGCCCAGCTGTACCCCTGGATGCGCAGCCCTTAGCACGACTTGGGGTGAACTTGTCCCACATTTTGGTTAGGAATAAAACCCCAGAACAGGGCCAATAGGGCCAGGCTACGAAGGGCTCGGTAGACCAAGGCCGAGTCTCCAGAAGAGAGCCAGGCCCTTCTCACGGTGCTGTGCTCCTCAGACCTGTTCTGTGTGGACCGCCGGGCAGCTCTGACCTACCGAAGGCTCTGCTTTGGCTCCTCATACAGCCAGCTGGGCACTGCAAGGGCTGGATGCCAGGCCAGGCCCTGAACCCTCGACAGCCCACGAGCACCCAGATGCAGCGCTTTGGGCTTGCCCACCTCCGTGCAAAACACAGCCAGGTTTTCCGTGCAAGGCAGCCGTGCACCGAAGCTGCCCCGGGAAGGCCTGGCCGGGAGGGGATGGGGCGGGTAGGAAAGGGCTTGGATATGTAAATGGAAAAGGAGAACTAAGGCTAGTAGAGCAGGTACGGGCAATAGCTTTTGCTGGGGGGGCCATTTCGCAAATCTTGGTTCATGGGCCCGGGCGGGCTCTGGGGCCCCTAGAAGGCACAGAAAGGGTGGGGCTGGGGGCTGCAGAGAGCGAGACAAAGAGAGTGTGTGAGTGTGAGACACGTGTGAGAGAGAGAAACTTTGCGACACACGTGTGCATGTGGCACTGTGCGTGTGACAGGGACTGGGTGTCTCCCTCTCCCCTCCGCCTGCCCACCCTGCACAGCCGGCAGGAGAATCCTAGGAGCAGCTGGTTTGTCGGGGGAGGCGGCTGTGAGTAAACACGCTCTACTAATCAGCTGAGTGGGCCAGATGTGGCCCTAGGGCCGGATCCGTCCCCTGGGCCTGATTTTGCCCACCGCTGTAGTAGATGGTGATCTGTCTCCGCCGGTGTTTCTCTCCTGCAGGGTACAGCCAGCACTGCCTCCCGCCCTCCAACTGTGAGACCGATAAGAGACCAGGGCTCCGGCGGGTGTCTCCAGACCCGCCCTACACCCCGGCTCCCGAGGAGTACAGTGACCAAGAGAGCCCCCAGTCGAGCCTCTCCGCCCGCTACTTCAAC